ACCTTACCATCTTCTTATCCCACATCCCAATCAGTCCTTCATTGAAATTACCCCAATGTTTGGTCAACATATGTAAGTGGGTGTGTATGTTTGCTGGCGTTGGGTGTTTGTATGGAAGTTTTTTTTTCTTTTTTTTTTTTTGTGTAAATCAAAGCACACATTTTTATACAATTTGTGCAAGCAAAGTTGCTACGTGACAGTAGTGAGACCCTTGCATGACCATACCAGACTAGACCAGGCCAAAGAAGACCACGCCATGCCACACCACACCACGTCCCGCCTCGCCACGCCCCTCCCCAGACGTTTCTAGGAAAGGTGCAAGCCAACGCACACCACATGTTATACTTTCGGGTGTGTGTTCGTTGGCGTGAATCGGTCGGTATGGGCGCCCTATGTTGTTTACTGTTATAAATACTGAATTATTTATTTGTTATGTGCCTTTTGCTTCGACATTTCTTTCGCACAAATGGCTTAAGTGCAATTTGTTGTTGTCGCTTCTGAAACTTGATCCTGGCAAGTTAAATGTGTTCGTTCTTTCAAGATACAAAAAATGTACAATAATTTAAGTTCCCCTACCGGTCGTTGCGTAATTTTTCAATTTCTTTGAATTTATAATCATTGTGACAATTGCATGCCCAGATCTTCAAGTTAATGTAAACCTCGAAGGCCTCCTCCAGCAGAAGCTAAAGCACAAATTGCTGTTGTCACGCGCATTTCCGCTCGTCTTGTCCACTTGGCATCGAATTGATTCAGAGCAGACAGCCCTGTATCCCAGCTATTGTTGAAGCCGAATGCTCCCAAACTTCACACATTTCTCAAAACTTGATAAAACGAATATCGTTTCCCTTCGCGTGCGCTGCTCTTTGGTGTCTTCAGCTGCCAAGTGCAACTCGCTGCCATAATTAATTAAGTCGAATTGCTGTTGAAGTAGTTGCCGCTGTTGCTGGCACATGATGTTGCAGTCCGTTGCGTATATTTTATAAAACTTTACACACTGCACCATTAAATTGCCTCAATTTAGGGCCCACCTCCCCGCCCCATTCCACCGAATCGCTGCTCACATGCTCACCAGATGTGCCACATCAGCCATGAAAGCAATGCTGGTTCTCTGTTCATTTTCACTTTGATTGTCAGATTTGTCAGACTTTGTTCAGATTTTTACATGTCTTTCCTGCGCTTCTTTTTCTGGCCGCGCCTAAAATGAATTGTTTCAAATTATTCGAGAATTAATGCGCACACATGGCCACCTATTTATCTGTACACATCATCTCTGGATTATTTCGAGCAATGAATTACTTGAACTTGTGCCGTTGCTAAACATATGTAAATCCAAAAACTTATAGAATCGTGATCCATTATTATTTCTTTGCTAAATATATATAAAAAAAAAACCAAAACAAAACAACAATTTTTTTGTTGTTGAATAATTGGTGAGAAAAATACTCGCATATATAACATATTGGTTTGGTCATTCAAATCAGATAATATATGTTCCTAAAGACACCAATATATTTTGACGTTAAGAAAACTGATCAATTATTGAATAGTAATTATTATTCATTTGTATGTTTATCTTATACAGAATTTGGGGTGATAGACGAAATCTTAATTTCGAGAGATTGGTTATGCATTATCTAACTACCAACAATACATAGTACCTACACTTTTAATTCTGAATATATATCCGCTATTATTTATTTAGTCTTGCTTTTATATTGCTTAATCCTTTAACCTTTAAGAATAAACTTGAAATGAAAAACAGTTTGTAGACTTAGGGGTATTGCGCATTATCCTGACTGAAAACCCACGATATGAGATACATTTGCTTCAAAAATCCTATGGAGCCGGTACTATCCGTCTTTAGTCTCGTAAACGCCTTATTTCTGTGCTCCACTTTATTGAACAGTTATGTATTTAATAATTAATTATAATTATCGTCAAAATGAAAGCAAATAATACAAATATTTTTAATTAAACAAGTAAAAAAGCTAAAGTCGGGTGTCCCGACTTTGAAATACTCTGTACATATGTTTACAATAATTATAGAAAATAAAAAAATTAAGAAAATAAAAAAAAAAATTTGATCGATTTTACCTCTCTCGGTATTCGAACTCACGTAAAGGGTGTATAATTGCACATTTACATAGCAATTGCGTCTGTGTGAGTGTATGTATGCCTATGCGCATCTATTCGTGTCTGTGTAAGCATTTTCGCAGTCAACACAACAGCAACATCAACAACAGCCGCGGGCAGCGCTTGAGCAGCGCTGCAGCAGCGCTGCATCAGCAAATATATTTATGGCTATAACTTCTTGTTAAATCGGTCTATCATAATGAAATTTGGCATACGGACACATAATAACCAACTGGGGGTATTTCCAAAATTTTAGTTCGAAATTCCAAGAATTACGGGAGTTACGATTTGCGGGGTAGAGGGGGGAGGGAGGGGAATTCCAAAATATACATTTTCTGCGTATTCACATAAGGCATCTGGGACTAAAATTTGGTGTTCCTAGGTCTTATAGTCTCCGAGATATAGGCGATTATACGAATGGAAAATCGGGAAAACCCCCATAGGGGGGAAGTGGGGGGGAAAATCAAAAAAATAAAACAAACTCGTATAGAATACACACATAACGCATCTTTGTGCAAAATTTGGTGTCTCTATCTCTTATAGTCTCTGAGATCCAGGTGTTCATACGGACGGACAGACGGACAGACGGACAGACGGACAGACGGACAGACAGACAGACAGGGCTAGATCGACTCGTCTCGTCATGCTGATCAAGAATATATATACTTTGTGGGGTCTGCCACGCCTCCTTCTGCCTGTTACATTTTTCAGCTCCCGCAAACCTAATATACTCTTGTACATTTCATGTACAGAGTATAAAAAGTAATAGAGGAAAGGGTAGACGAAAAGATGACTTTGGATCAAATCCACATTCAAATGGAAATCTTATTTTTTTTCTCGATCAATTAAAGATTTTTTAGTAAGATAAATTTACTCGAGACTATTACTATTATGAGGTAGAGCTTAATTTTTATTTTCCATGACAAGATGCATAGAGGCTTCATTTTTAGAGAGAGCATCTATTTAAATTGTTCATAAAGAAAATTTTAAAATATTTAAACTTAATATCGTTTCACTTACGATTCACATTAGACTTAACTTTAAATTTTGTTTGATGGCGCAATATGAAAGTACTGTGAAAGCGAAACAAATATGGGACAAGCAGACTATTTTACCAAAGAACATTTGCGGTTTAGAGACTTTTTTCACTCTTCAAAGCGTTGCTAATGAAATCCGTTTCATTAGCACCACTCACAGCTCAATCTGCTACCCTTGGTTACTGATATGCACAATCTGTTAACTCTTTTTATTAAGCAAACATTAATTACATTAAAAAGAAACAACCACATACTTACAACTACAACTGCAATAGCAGCAGTAGCAGCAGTAGCCTGCAAGCTGTAATCAGCTCAACCTTCTGGTTGCATAGACATGCATACATGTATATAACGGTATGGGTTTGTAGGAGTGTGTGTGCTGATGGTGCCTATTAATGCGTTACGGCCACCGTTGACGTCGTCGGTGGCGTTGGCGTTAACGTTACCGTTGCATTGCCATCGCCAAGAGCATTTTTAATTTCATTTTGCGTTCTGCTGCGATTCAAGGGTCTTTTTGCCTTTTATGTGCATGTGTGCTTAAAATGTATCTGTGTGTGTGTGTGTGTGTGTGAGTGTGCATAGGCGTATGTATCTCTGTGTGCACAGCGAACGAGCCATGCAGCGCATAATTACAATTAACGTCATTCATGGTGGGTGGCCGTTGTTGTTGTTGCTGTTGGTTTTTCCGTTGCCTATCCAGCGTCGTTATCGTTGGCATCGGCTTCGGCTTCGGCGTCTGTTTGTCTTCATGCGTATGTTTGTATGTATGTGTGTAGCTGCTGGCGATTTTAATTGAAATTGTGCACCGCGCATTAATTTCATTTTACATTTCGCTGGCAATGCCACGTCACATTTAAACTTGGCTCATTTACCCGTGCCTTCGCTGTCCTTGTTGGCATTGCTGCTGTTGTTGTTGTCATTGTACTCGATACTCGTAGTCTGTCTGTCTGGCTGGCTGACTGGCTGGATGCCTGCCCGCTGGCACTTGGCTCCTGTTTGCACGCAACAGTTTTTACGGGCCGCACATGTTGTCCTGTTTAAGTGCGTGAAATTAATGCCATAAATTTATACATTTTTTCGCAACATCCACTGGCCAAGGACTGATTGCGCTATTTCCTTAATTGGAATATTGGTTATTTTATTTACACTTGTTTTTATGTCCCTGTGTTCCTGTACCTGTTAAAGTTTTGTGTGTTCTTACCCCATTTGATATATTGAGTCAATGAGACATATTTTTATTAGGCATTTAAAATATATGAGAAGACTAAATTTGAATTTGATATCCAAAGAAGTTTTTTTCCCGCGATATGAACATATTTTCGGATCTATTTGCATATTACGTCAATTATTTGGGAGTTCGAGCTTTCCTCATCATCGCCTTGTCAATTTGTTTTGTACATGTAGCATAAAATCATTTGATAAACTTATGTCTAAATTGAATATAAAATTATAGATATACTATACACAAGCCGGTATCATGACCTTAGCTACTGGCTGTTGGCTATAACATTAAAAGGAACAGAAAAGTGTTAAGCGTTTGTCATCGAATTAATGGTTGTGTGTGTAGTTACTAAAAAATGATATATTTAGTAGGCTTTTGTTTACCAGCCTTAGTGCATTCACTAAAAAGTTATAGCAGATTATAGTCCCAAAATATTTCATACAGTCTGAAAAAATTCTTCACACTTAATAGATTAAGCCGCCTCAAAATCATTGCTTGAATAACCTGTGAACAGTGTTGGTTTAAATATAGATAATAAGTTCATGTTGTAGAAACACACAAAGACGAAGAAAGATTCATAAATTGTACAACAAAAGTGTTTGCTCATAATGGCACAAAGTGAAAGCGACTGTAGTGTCAGCATTTGTAATGAGTCCAAAATATTACAAGTTGATCCGCCAGAGGTGTTCGACATTTACGGCATCGATGATCCGACGCGTAAAGATGAAGAGTCTGTTATTAGGCCGTTTGGGTCGACTACTTCCATCGACACAGATCAGGTGGATTGGAGTGAGCACTCAGAAGGCGAAGATCAAGTGTGTGGCTTCGGCATGGGGTATTCGTCAGAAGACAGTGAGTGGAACGATCGGTGGCTCAAAAAACGAGCCATTTGCTTGCCCGAAGGCTGGGAAGAGCGCACTAAGCCCATTACTTGCGAGACCTACTACTTTAACACCCATACGCAGACAGAATACTTGCGCTTTCCGATCGGCAGGCATGGCGGCCCGACAGCCTGTGTAACAGATGATTTAGTTTACCCATGGACTCGTTTTCGCTGCAGTCATATACTGGTCAAGCACAGAGACAGCCAGCGACCCACCTCGTGGCGTGAAAAAATCATAACAAGAAGCCGGTCTGAGGCACGAGCTTTGCTGGAGAACGGACGCCAGAAAATTGTGGCTGGGAAAATGGAATTCGATGAGCTTGCGCGCGTCATATCCGACTGTTGTTCGGCTCGCCATGGCGGAGACTTGGGAAATTTTAAACTGGACCAAACCCATTGCGAATTCGAGCGCGAGGTGCTGCGCCTTCCGAAAGGAGAGCTCTCACAAATTTTCGAGACGCGCGCTGGTTTCCACATTGCTGTGCGTATGGCTGCCAGTGGCGAGATGTCGGAAGGGGAGCTCAAAAAGAAAGAACGCATCGGAAAACTGAGCAATATAAACGATAGAGGTAGGGACAAAATGCATTTGAAGAAGAAACAACACGGCGTTGTTTCACTGCAGCAGCAAGATAAACTTAAGGTAAAGCATTACGAGCGCAAAGCTGAGAAGAAGTATATCAAGGATATACAGCGCGAAGATGGCAACCCAAGCCGCTTGCTTCGGCAACACGAAGCTTCTTACAGGAGCCTGGACCTTTTGCAGAAAATTGTCGACAGAGTGAGTGGAAAGAAAAATAAAAAGAAAGTTCAGCGTGCGGCAGAAAAGAAAAATTTGGTGCGCGAGTATAACGAAAACTTTGAAAGGAACCACTTGCTTAAACAGTTGCTATGTGAAAGAAATCGGGAATGTTCGGAGCAGTCAAGCAACGAGCCCCCAACTGAAGTTTGTAGCAGCACAGAAACGGACATATGTTCCTGCGCAGACAAAAGTCTATATTCGAGTACCACGACGCTTTCTCCTGTTACCGACACTGAGTTTTCCTCAAACATTCAAAGAACATTAGGTGGTGTTTCCAACACTGGGAACAGAATTCCTCCTATAGATAAAGTTAATTCCATTTCTAGCATCGAAAAAGCCCGCCCTGATGTTGTCAAGAAAAGTAAAAAAAATCTTGGTTCCAATAAAAAACGCTCTTCAGATTGTTCAAGTACACCGACACTGCCATCCCCTCGTTATGTACTGACAAATCCTAAATTATTTCGAAAGAATACAAAGCGCAATTTCCATCCATTTATGCAGAAATACCCCAGATGTCCGTTATCCCGTATATATGTTCCGCGCTCAATTCATTCCATATACTCCGATACAATTATACGGCCAGAAACATCAGCTTTAGATGATTCCAGCCATGCCGAGCTCATCAAATGAGTTTGCCGCTATCTATGTACTATATGTTGAAAAAGGGAGCGGACTCGAAAAAGAATGTAACGCAAGAATGTGACAAACAAATCGATTCTGAGGACAATTTACTTTTGAACTAAGTATTCGGTTTTTAATCAAAATGCAAAATTATGGAGTAAATATAATGAATGTCCTTATAAATAAATATAAAGTAATTTGTTTCTTTTCATGGATCTCAACAAACTCGCTCTGTCTGTTTGAACAGAAGGGTCTCAGGAAGTAAAAGAGCTAGAATAACCGGATCCTCTAAGCCCTAGCCAGATCCAGTTTAGCTTTTTTTTGATGCATCTCATAATTTTCTGTAACTCCTGTAATTGTTGGAATTTTGTCACGTACTCATGGTACTTGTGTGTCATTATATCATGGTTTCATCGTGAGGACCTCATAGTCATTAATGTAATCTCTGCCCAAGTTCAGACCGCAGCTATTTTCATTGTTGCTTCGTCTGCACTGCATATACTTGTTTACACACACAAATGAACTCACATAGTCATGTTATTTTTATTAAAATTTAGAAAAAATAGTTGTTCGTTTTATTTTAGATTTTATTCTTATTGTTGAATTGGGTTCAGGACAGAGGTGAGCCTGCTCGACAGTAACATTCCATTATTGCTTAAAGATAGCAAAGAAAAAAATATAAAAATCATCATTCATGATGTGTGCTATAATCATTTACCGAACATTATTAAATTACATATGTGTCTATCCACTTAGCCGGGTCTAAGCTTTCTCGCACTATGCTCTTATAAATTAAGACCCAGCCCAAAAACAATTTTCATCACATGTGTACTAACCCTTTTTGTGATATTGTAATTTTTCAATTTGTACATTAAAATTTAATGCCACATACTCGGTTTCCTTGCAGCTTTTCAGCAATTTGCCAATAGCTAGGTAAGTGTATATATTACGTATACGCATCTAACGAATCCAATTTACACAACAACTCAATTAACATTAAATGCGGCCAAAGAGGCACAAACTGTATATTACTTACGGCTTACGTGGCTTCATAAGAGCATCAAATTACTTTTGAGGAGCGTGCGAGCTGACAGCCTTTTCGCCTGCCACTTCCCGTTCGCCGTTCTCCATTCGCCATTCGCCATTCACCATTCGCCATTTCCCATTTGCCTTTTGCATGTTGTTGAGCATTAGTTTTGCGGCCAATGTAACTGATACATATGTAGATGTAGGCATACTTTATGTGCACGATACGCTCTCGTTTTTTATGAGGCGCGGCTTTGTATGACCCTTCTGTACAAACACAAGCAAATCGAATAGTAGGAAGTGTTGTGTGTGTGTGTGTGTTTGCTGGCTAATATTTGCTGGAATCCTTTTTTAAGGCAACACATTCAGACGGGACGAAGGTCGTGCATGTGTTATAAGATTTTATGTTTATTGATGTACTGCGATATGCATATTTATGTTCAGTCTGTTCGGAATGATGGCCAATGAAGGGTATGTGCGTGTGTGTGTGTGTGTGTGTGTGTGAGTGTGTCTATAATGCTTGTGTTTGAGCTACAAATTTGTTATAATGGCCACGCTTTAGCTTACATTATTGATGTTTTCATATTGAATTACAAATGCTTTTATCATCTTAGAACTTAAGAGGAGTTTGCCAACAACTCGACTCGGCCAGAAGTTGGGGTATAGTTTGCCAAGTAATTTTCACACAATTTTCAGCAGATTTCCCAGTAAAAGTGAAATGTCAAGTACATACAATTAGCAATCACTGCACGGGCACTAATCTGAAAAGCGTTAATTGGAAACACAAAAGGCGGACAGAACAGACAAAATGGTCGCTCCTATATAATGGTCGCGCCGTCGGCTTTGCAATTAAATAAAGTGGTTTGCACTTTGCCACACGATTGCACAATACAAGTAGCATAAACAGCAGCATGAACTACAGCTGCAAGAAAAACAACAGTACAGGAATGGCAGCAACAAAAAGTACGTATGTGTGTATGTATGAGAACTGTATCTGCCAAGAACAATTTAGGATGTTGAACAAACCGAACCCACAGCCTAAAATTTGGGCCTATTGAAGCTGGAGGAAGTGGCAAACACAAAATGACAGCCGCCTGAATGAAACAAAAAGGCAATAATTACAATGCCAACAGCAACAACCGCACATACACAAAGCTATCGGTTGTCATTTATGAACACACACACCCAGTTCCATTTTTGTTCGTTTGTACGGTCGTGTGTGTGTGTGTGTGCATGTGTTTAATGGCATGGGAAACAGTTAAAATGTAGCCGAGGATGCGGGCAGACGAAGTAGGTCGCTCGGTCTTTTGGTATATCAGTTGGTTCATTTGCAGCGGTTTTTTTTTTTTTTTTGAATTCGTAACGTGATACGACTTCACTCACGACAAGGAATGGAGGCTGGTACTGCAGTGGAGCAGCACATGAAGACTGAGGAGGGGGAACTTTGTATTCGAAGATGATGCGATGGCGCTGTAGACGACGACGTTGTCTTAAGCTTGCCTTAACTACTCTTTTATTTTTTTTGTCGTGTTTCGTTATTGTTGTTGTACTTGTCATGGAGCACATTCAACGTAAATGGTGTGTGTGTGTGTATGGATGTGGGTGTGCATGTGTGTAAGACTGAGCTGCACGACCGTTTCAGACAAGATTAAACATGTTTACTTCGCTGAGCATGCAATGTTGATATGCTAATGTGTTTGACTGTGCCGCTTGGTTTAGTGTTAGAGTGCTTTCCTTAAATGCTCGAGAGGGTGCCGCTTTATAAGGGTGTATGTGTGTGTCTGTGTGTGTTCGCACACGTGGTGCTTGTTAACTAAATACAGCTGAAGCAACAGCATTCCAGACAGAGGGAAGTGTTTAAATTCTGAAAAGGCATCATACTTAATCACGTTAAACCAGTGTTTCCTTAATGGCTAACGACGAAAGTTGTTAAATAACGTCCAAATATAAAGCGAACGTCGAGGTAATTTAATAAAGTTTTACCTAAATTTCATATCGTTTTTATACTCTGTACATGAAATGTACTAGAGCATATTACGTTTGCGGGTGCTCAAAAATGTAACAGGCAGACCCCACAAAGTATATACATATATTCTTGATCAGCAGGACGAGACGAGTCGATCTAGCCCTACCTGTCTGTCTGTCCGTCTGTCCGTCCGTATGAACACCTGGATCTCAGAGACTATAAGAGATAGAGACACCAAATTTTGCACAAATATGCCTTATATGTGTAAGCTAAACGAGTTTGTTTTATTTTTTTATCCCTTACCCCCCCCCCCCCCCCTATGGGGATTTTCCCGATTTTCCATTCGTATAATCGCCTATATCTCGGAGACTATAAGACCTAGGGACACAAAATTGTCCAAGATGTCTTATGTGAATACGCAGAAAATGTGTATTTTGGAATTTCCCTCCCTCCTCCCTCTCCCAAGCAAATCGTAACTCCCGTAATTCTTGGAATTTCGAACTAAAATTTTGGAAATACCCCAGTTAGTTATTATGTGTCCGTATGCCAAGTTTCACTATGATAGACCGATTTACCAAGAAGTTATAGCCATAAATATATTTGCTGCTGCAGAGCTGCTCAAGCGCTGCCCGCGGCTTTTGCTGATGTTGCTGTTTGGTTGACTGCTAACATGTTTACACAGACACGAATAGATGCACATAGGCATACATACCCTCACACAGACGCACATTTACATGTGCAATTATACACCCTTTACGTGAGTTCGAATACCGAGAGAGGTAAAATCGATCAATTTTTGTTTTAATTTTCTTAATTTTTTTTATTTTCTTTAATTATTGTAAACAGAGTATTTCAAAGTCGGGACACCCGACTTTAGCTTTTTTACTTGTTTTTTTTTGCGAAATAGATGTGTAATGTGTTTTCAAATCAATAATTTTTAGCCTATGTGTTGATTTAGTAATTCATAAAAAAAATGTTAAATGCTGGAAATTCTTATTTTTTCAAATCAATCATTTTTAGTTAATGTGTTGATTTAGCGAAATGCTGGAAATTATGCGGTTGCACACGATGAATGCTTGAAAACATTTGCGACTCTATCGTTTCAATCGTTTGCTATATTTTGTAAAAATTAAAAAAACAAATTATTCTTAGATGATTTGCTTACCCATCGATATAATTATTGTATTTTCTTATACTAGTAAGTACTAAAACATGGTGTGTGAATGCCTAGGTACTCTTTCGAAAATAACATCAGTCTCAGGTAAATGCTTGTACAGCTGCCTTGTATGTTTTCATAGCATATTTACGAGCATCAACCCGACAAATCATTTGAGTAACTACGTGTTCCACAAGCTGTGACAGACAGAGTAGGTAGCTTGACGAGACAGCGTGGCACACACAGCAAATACTTGCAGCTGTCGGGTGCCACAAATGAAGATGCCTGCCAGCTCGATGCTGGCATATCCATGCGTCCTGTTGCGGCATCGTCGACTATGCTCTGATTTTTACAGCATGAAAATGTCTCTTGTCGCCAAATGCCGCAAGCCGCAGATGCTTAAAAATGGAGAACTTTCGACTTGTTTATTAAAAACTTATTCGTGTTGTTATGGAGCGCACGCCCGTCGGCCAACGTTCGCCGCCCGTGTCGCTTTTCAAAAGTTTTCCACTTTAAGGTGAAATGCATGCTTGCTAGTTTGGCTTGATGCTGTCGAGTTTTTCTTGTTTTTGATTATAGTGTTGGAACAATTTTTTGGCTCTGAGTGGGTGTATATGTATCGCTCCCTTCCTTTCTCTCACCAACTTAAATCGTTGCTTAGTTTTCCGAGTAGTCGAGAGCGTGTTAAGCATTGCCTAACAGCAAATTTTGTTTTCGGAGTTTGTTTTAAGTTTTCGCTTTTTGGTTGCGATCCTTTTTGTGCCCTGCTCTTGCCGTTTTTTGTTACTGCAGCATTCTCTCTGTTTTCCCTAAAGTGGACGACATTTTAACATTTTTCAACAACTTTTTGAGTGGCGCTTGTAAGAAGTTTTGCACCGAATATTCAACCCTAAACCTTACTGTGAACTGCTCGCAGTTTTAAAAACTAGCAACCACGGCTCCGAAAAATATCAACGATTTGTTTGTTGGCTAGTTTGTGGAATTGTACTCAACAATTTAGTTAATAATACCGTAAGCATCTATGGTTCGGTAACATAACATTAAAATGTTCATAAATGTCAATGTATATCTTTACTTAACTTTACATTTAGCAATCTTTTTTGTTCGGCAAAACAAGTGATGAATTTTGATTTGCAAGCTATGATAGTCATCAATAGTTAATAAGATTTGTTTGTCAAACTTAAGAATTTTACGAGTACCTTTTTTTCTCATACATAAAACTGAATTATAATAGAAATAAGTGTGCTATTAAAACATTCATATTTCCAATAAAATCTATACACAAATTGTTCACATTATGAGAGTAAATCGAAATGTTTCACTGAAATAACTGCATTTTAGCTTTGAATTTTCATACCTTGTTTAACTTATTTTCACTCTTTTACACATTTTTCAAATTATTCCATATTTTTCATGTACGTTTTTTATGTACGTGTATATGCTATTGTACTTCTCATGGTTCTGTGCCAATTTGTTGTTTACCTCAACTACTAAATATTTTTATGAAAACACACATAAAACATAACGTACGCTAAAAATTTATATATTTAAAATACCAAATTTTAATTGCTTTCATGTGTATGTGGGTGCAGTGGCGGACGTGTGTGGTTCATTGTTGTTGTTATTGTAGTTTCTGCTGACGCCATTGTTGTGTTTGTTTTTGCTTCAGATAAATATTTCATTTTTGCACAATATTTGGGGATGCTTTTTATTTATTATAGCGCTGCTGCCCTTGTTTATTTAGTACATGCGCCAAGGGATGGGGATGCGAGTAGATCGCAAATT